TTGGGACGTTGTCCATTATTGCTTGTAGTTGTCTGTAGAACGCCTCCTTCTTCTCTTGTTCTGAGACGTTTGTAGGCGCATAGCATTGAATGACTGTAACTTTCCTTCCTTTTGAGTTGAACCTGGCTGTCATTATCCTGGAGGAGATTGGTTCCCACTGCATGAGAGCTTTGGCTGCTGTTGGTGACATCATGATGGCCACTCCCTCGGTGTGCTCATGGTTGTCCTCTAGGTGGCCGGAATAGATTACTGTCTCTCCAGTAGGTAGTTGGCACCTTCCAGTTCCGTTCCATCTGCTTTCGCAGATTCCCAACACTTCTATTCTGTACCTTCTCATTTCAGAGGCCTTTCCAGTTTCGTACATTGTACGAACATTCCAGGTACCCATCCTTACTTTTGCTTTCATCGAAAGAAGGCACATCGGCTGACTGGCTTCCCGAAGGCTTTCACCAGCCTGTGTCATTTCACTTCCCAGATTCCAGCGAAAAATAAGGTTATTGTTTGAATTTTAAGAATTTTTAATATATGGTGCATTGAAGTTTCTGTACTGGTTTGGTTGAGTTTTGAGGGTGGAGTTGCTAGCACCACGACCCAACCCTCCCTCTTTATCCAGGCTTATATATATATATATATATATATATATATATATATGAATTATATATTTTTAGCCCTGTGCACTTCATGTGGGGTGTCGTTAATATTACGTAATCTCGTATATCCGAGCAGAATTCCTACAAGTATATGATTGAATGTCGTTTTATTTGAATTGCAATAAAAGTTTTACGTATCTCTGATATAGGTGTCATTCCGAAACTTACTTCATGTGTTAGGTGTACTTTCAATAAAGGTAATTGCATTGAGCAGACTTTCTCGAGAAAGAAACTATTACTTCGTAAAATATCACAGTCCTGACTGAACGGCAAACTACTTCCATATAGGATGGCTATTAGGCTAATTACTACAAGACTTACGACGTCATTGATATAAAAGGCTCATGAGTCGATTGAGAGGAAAGGTGAGAATGATATCGGGAAAATAAAATCTATGAATGTAAGCTAGTAGAATTTCCCAACCTACTAACTCGTTTAGCATCCCAATAAGCCCATATTTATGACGATTTTACAGACTTCTACAAGCATTGATCTGGTTTTCTATCATGGTGGATGCATGAAGTTCCCGTGTCACCTTTCACAATATAATTAGTGACAGAGATACAATCGAGGGAGAGCAGGACAAAACACAGGCTGACTGCACCTCTATAGTCTTTACACAATACTAGACAACACTCATAGCACCAAAGCATTGAGCGTTACAAGAAATTGGCATAGGTTCTACTGACACTAACCAACACGTTGCAAAGTGGATACGAGGAAATCGATGCGATCAAATGATCTCCGTCCAAGACTTCTGAAGAAACTGGCACCCTACATAGCTATTCCACTGACCACTATTCCAGGATATCCCTGTCGCAAGGACAGATACCGCCTGACTAGATGAGTGGAATACTAATTCCTGGATGAAAAAAAGAATCTAGACATTTTCTATCAAACCACGGACTTCCTAGGTTTTCTAACAGCAGAATTAGGGTGCCGGAATGAAGCATCGAGCAATATGTCATGGCTTTTCTGGGAAAGAACGTATTAGTCAACGCCTATCACGGTTTTCGAAGAGGGCCTTCTCGTCTGACAAAGCTGAGCCAAATCCATCGATAGCTGGAAACTCTTCGAAGTCATGTTCACAGGTCTCAGCAGAGCATTTGACAAGGTGCCTGGTACTCCGTCACTTATGAAACCTAATGGCTTTTCTATTACAAACAACCTATTACCTTGGATCAGAGTTCCTAGTCAGTAGAAGACGGATAAAAGTGATCGACTGTAACTCGCGCTCTGTTGGCCACCCCAAACTCTAATCTCGCGTGAATCTCAATGCAAATGATCTGAAAATTCGGAGACAGCTTAAAGATGACAACCACGATATGTTGGCCTTAAGATTGAGGGCCTTCCACCAACGCAGTGATGTACGCTAGCACGTGCACCAAGTTCGCAAATGTCAGTGGATACGACACGGACAGACACCTCTCGTCTCACTGCCGAAACAAATACGGTAAATTATGACTTCAGAAGGATGACCTTGCATCACTACAGGTAGCGTTTCGGGCAGTTACGAGTGTTAGAAAAGGTTCACAAATTTTCCAGGCGCGAAACATATTGGGATCCATCTGTTTTATGAAAAAACCCAACAGAGTGAACCATGCCATCAACAGAAAAGAAGATTAAAGACGAAGTTTAAACGCTTTGGAAATGTTTATCGATCTGATCCAACTTCCACCAGGTTGGAACATCTCTTCAAAAAAATGTACAAACGAACCAGTGGTTTGACAATGGGAATACCAAGATCCCCAATAGTGGCAGACATAACTCCATCATGGATAAGATTTTATTTTAATAAATCACAGTGTTATTCAGTAATATTAACTGTTGACGTTTCGAGCACAAATTATTGCCACTCATAATCATATCAAGTTGCTCACACAACTTTTTTCCTTCACTTATATACATGTGTGGAATTGATTAGATATTTGAATAAAAATTCAATATAGGATAATGTACATTCAGAAATAATAATACTGTAACAACAGAAGGCAAGGGCCAGAAAACAGATCCTTTATTAAGGAAATTAACACATATTTATAGATTTTCAAGTACATATTATAGATTATTGTTAGCAGAAAAACAGTCTACTGATTGGTTGTTTGTTTCTCACTGAAAGTTAACCTTGCATCTCTTTATAACTGTTTCTTGAATGTCAGATCATATATATGCTAACTGTATCTGCCTACGCAAAGCCTTTGTTCATATTTTTCTCACGGCCAATATTTAGGACATAAACGTTGACGTAAATTAATGTCTATCAATCTGGCTAGCAGTCTGCTCTCACCACACTTACACTTAAAATTGATAAAGGAAGATTAGTTTAATTAAATGTGTATATAATGGCGCCAGGAGCCTAAATAGTAAGGTAGAAGAGGCTGAAATTAGGGTGGTATTTGAACCAACTGTCACGGAGATAAACTTTGTCTCTCGGCTTAAGAACCCGATAGATCCAATGAAGAAAAATAGTATAATTTACCATATACCACGTAATGTCTGTGAGTGAGGTCAATTGCATAGGACAGTCAAACTAGTAGATCGGGGTCAATTTTACAGTATCGAAACATAAAAATCTAGCTAAATGTAGAACGATTGACCTTGCTAAGTAAATTAAATAACCTGGAAAGTGGCTGAGCCATTGCATTCAGTTGCATATAATCACAAAATAGGTTGGGTAGGACCGGGTGAGAGTATTAAAAGGTAGTATTGTTAGGTGAAGTGAAAGAGAGAGAGGTTAATCACTGAAGCTTTTTTGATCGATTCAACACCAAACACGTACACTCGAAATGACGCAACGCCTACACCGGAGATATAGAAAGTGGCAACAGACAACAACAAGAGGGAGAAAAAGAAAAAAAATGTATATAAGAAAAATTGTGACTAAATTGATATCATGAACAGCAATCATTTATGCTCGAGACCTAGTCATCTAGTTATTGATACTGCATCATCACGGTGTGATGTTCAAAATACACTTATCTAATATCGAAATACACTCTCTGATCATAGTGCTTAAGCTCCATATTTACATGAGGATAGATTCATTTTACTTTAAGTCCAAAAACAATACAAACGCGCTACACCACATCACGCTTATGTACACTGATGGAACTCACTCCAGCCCAACAAACATGGTGCGACTCAATAGTCTGAAAGGTTTAAACTGAATCTGATGATGACAATTTAAATTTAGACATCTTAAATCAAGTTATCCAAACATGTGTAGAGGAAAAGTAAATAGTCAATCAAAATTCAAATGGACATAAGGTGAAGAACTGACACGAGGTGGATGGATAACGCGCAAAGAGGTGAATGAATACATGTGCTCTACACTAAAATCAACTTTTCGCAGTGAACTCTTCGTTTTTATATAAAGCTTCTTCATATGTTCTGTCTGTACAGCACTATTGCTTATTTCATTACAATACTGAACATTCATTCCAGATCAAAACAAAATGATGTTTACCTAACCAGTGAAATATTGAGAAAGGTTTAAAATGGATGCTTACAATTGTTTTTGAGAAGTGTATCGATGCACTCCCGCATTCAAAACATCGATACTTCGTGACATATATTAAAAATATTCATGGGTTGGTTTGCAGCAGGGATTTGATTGGTTATAGGATTTTCATCACGAACTGACACTGGTCGATGAACACCACTGGAAAACCTGAACACTTATTCCTAGTACTTGGGACTCTTGATCAGCACATACCTACCACCTAGACTCGAACCCGGTAACCTTTCGAATACAAGGTTAGATGCTCGTAGACAGTTATACCCATCAGGACCAGCATTCGAATATTAATCTGATGCCTAATTACGCGGGTAGTTGGTTACCTGAGTTTTAGTGGAAAGTCGTGACCGGTAGTGGGATGGGTACAGCAGGTCGCGTATGAGGACAAATACTCGGCACCCTATACAGTGCATGAATTGGCAGAAGTTGGAATTCGTTGGTTGCCTCCTTTTTTTTCTTTACACACACACACACACAAGTTCCCTCCCCCGCTTACAATCTGTTCACCATCACCACCGAAGTGAGCGAAGTATTGCAAAAACTGCAGCACTGCGTACTACAGAATTATTTAGTAACTACCGCTAGTCACTAGAGAGATAAAGAACACACGTTTGGCAAAACACAACCGGATTATTTATTATACACATCATTTTAGAGTTAATAATAAACTAAAAAAGAAAATAGAAAAAATCTGTTCTACAAATCCACTGCTTGAAAAATGTAATAGCAAACGAACAACGAAAAAAAACAGCATGGAAACAACTTCCAATGATGATTGTTTTTGATTCCGACTGAAATTGGCCACCAGTCTGTGTCGTCGACTTTCCGCTCAATCAACCAATTCGACACGAATCAAAGTAGAAATTGGAATGGACAAGTTGAGCCGCAGACGTGTAATTACCTGATAGTATCCCTTCATACAATGTACGCAATTCTGACTCGATAGCATTTGAATCCGGATCATGTCTAGGATATTTTGTTTCATTCAATAGTTTACCCATAAGATAATGTAACCAGTAAAGATTAGATACTGGATTGAAACGGCGCCAATTATCTCTGCAAGAAAGAAAGTAAAAGAACATTTAGATTACAGGATTTCATGATGAGCTGCCGACATTGGTTAGAGAATACCAGTGGAAAACCAGATGGGAGTACTGCCAGATAGCCATTTAGTCTCCCTAGCGCTTGGGACTCTACATCAGTAGGTACCCACCAAAAGGATCTTAATACAGGACTACCTTCCGGCTATACATGGCGAGCGAGCTCGCAGACCATTCGAGCCACTGAAACCCGACTTCTCAATGGCCAACCATAGAATTCCGATTTCTGCCAATTCAAGCACGACATAGAGCGGCTGGTACTAGCCAGTGTCATCGGTGCTGAGTATTTGTTCTCATACGCGACCTGCTGTACCCATCTTACTACTGGTCACAACTTCCCAGTAGATTATTTTCACTAAGATATTTGACAAAATCTACAAGTGAGTGCATTTTTCTTGGAACAATAGTTCTTAACAAAAATCACCTTATGTTTACAAAAAGATATCGATTTCAAAGTTTTAAGCATTACCACAAAATGAAATAAAAATCAAACTAAAAACAGTGTTAATCACGACAGGCAGACACTTGACAGTTCACCAATGAGTATGATCTGATCTGTCTCTCGCGATTATTGTTTAATTTAATGTAAACGCTCAACGTTTAAGGATTAATGTTTTATTCTGTCTTTTATATGTATGTAAAGTAATTTGTTAGTCACTTAATCCCACACGTCATTACTGTATCTTTCTTTGAATGAAGGTTGCCCTACTGTTGTTACAATTGTGTAATTGTATTATTTACTTTATATTTTAGAAACAAAGTTCATGTTAAGTTATCTGAGTTTTAACTATAGCACGGCCGAGACTCTGTATCGCCAGTATTGACAGTGAGGACAAAATCTGTAGGCAAAATTAATCCTGCAAACAGATATCGCGAATTGACAGAGGTTGGAATAAATGGGTTGGTCATTGAGGAGTCGGGTTCCAGCGGCTGGAATGGTCTACAAGCTCCTATGATATAAAAATCAAATCTGACTTTAAGTATCTTGGACTAGTTCTTTCTCCAGACCTAACCTGGTCTTCCCATTTCATAGCGATTTCGACAAAATATTTCATCTGACTGCTTATAGTGAAAAGTTAAAGCATTCGGGCATAACTCAACTCCTTTTCCTCGTACAGCTTGCCAACTCGTGCATCTTACCTATTTTCCTTAAAAAAGATTACGTCACACTTCGTAGAACTCTGAAAACTGTCAGCAGCGTGAGTGGTAGTATCCCATTGGACTATATCGTTGAAATCGTGTCACTGATGATAAGCAGTTGATCTCATGCAATAAATTTGTTAAAGAGATTTTTCACATTGGGAGCATCCACTTTACTCGCGGCTTTCGTCTTGCATCTCCCTCCTCAAGTAGAACAATAAGTTATGCACGCAAGTCTAAGCATAACAATTCCACGATACTATATTCGGTGGCACGTATTTTATGTGATGAAAATAGTGTCAGGTACCAACTAACTAACCTCCTTTCCACTAGTAGTAAATAAACAATTTCCTCCATCCTTATTCCACCAAGCTTCACTGTTATTATTATCCTTCTTATTGTATTGATGGTCCACTCATTTTGTTTTGTTTATTTTTTTCATAAGTGTAAACATCATCTGAGCGCTGTAATAATTGTTATTGTTTTGTCTCTCACCATGCTATGCGAAGAGAATATCAGATTCAATACTCTGTAGCATGCTAAAATTTCCATATTGTATCGACATTATTGTTTGAGACAAACCCACCATTTATGATTACCATTATTATTATTTTCAGAGTTGTTATTCTCATTTTACACTTTGCACGTTTTTGACATTATTCCAGCTGTAAATGTGTAGTTAATTCTATTTATATTTTGATTTAATTAGGAGTAATATGGTGGGTGACAAATGCTGTATTATAAATACTGTTTTTGGAATAAAGCAGATTATCATCATTATTACTAGATCACACAGAACAGTTGTATGACTGAAATGCTCACCCATTTTTTTCACGCATTATACGATAGATGTCATATTGATAATCCCCTACACATTCGAAGATTTCAGGAGAATCAGACATGTCGACGTAAACTACATTACCATCTAAAAACACAAAAAACAAACCATGATAACAATAATAAAAATAATAATAACACGGTGTAGTTAACTGCTAACACCAAAGCATTAAATGCACACCTTTTGTCTGAAGTGCACGAAACGTTCGCCTGTAAATGAAGTATAGCTACAGTCTCGAAAAAAGATCAGTTATAGCAATGTATGGCCTGTGCAGGGACTGACGTGGAATCATGCTCTTGTCCACACCAAGTAAAATAAAAAATAAAACATGCACTGAATCCAGAACTCCAACTGCCGGATTAAGAAAAGGCAAATGATGTGTTGATCAAACTGAGAATCTACGTATCATCATCAAACAACGCATATAGTGGCAGTTAGACCTCCACCTCAACTTCATCGACTTCGAAAATAACTTCAACACCACTGAGCGCGGAGTAATTTGGAAACTGCTTTAACACTATTGTGGTGAGAGCAGACTGCTAGCCAGATTGGTAGACATTAATTTACGTCAACGTTTATGTCCCAAATATTGGCCGTGAGAAAAATATGAACAAAGGCTTTGCGTAGGCAGATACAGTTAGCATATATATGATCTGACATTCAAGAAACAGTTATAAAGAGATGCAAGGTTAACTTTCAGTGAGAAACAAACAACCAATCAGTAGACTGTTTTTCTACTAACAATAATCTATAATATGTACTTGAAAATCTATAAATATGTGTTAATTTCCTTAATAAAGGATCTGTTTTCTGGCCCTTGCCTTCTGTTGTCACACTATGATACGCAGTGTCCAAATTTCTATCAAACTTATTCAACAACTGGTTGTGTGATAATGAAACCTTTCAAGAGATCCACAACGGAAAACTCCGTGAAGCCTAATTTCGAAGTGAATGCGGGGGTAAGACAAGGCTGTCTATTATCACCAATGGTATTCCTAATTGTGGTGAGACTGGATTATGAGTCAGACTGTATGTTTGGAATGATAAGACAGGAATACGCCGGACTACAGATAAGAAAACTCTAGAAAATCTGGATTTCGCGCATGGATGACTTTTTTTCAATGCCATACAAACTCGAAGACTTTCAGGCGAAAACCGAAAACTGGATGAAGAAGCTGGCAGCAAAGACAGGACTCTCAGCGAGCATTGAGAAGACGGAGGTGATGAAGATATCCAACCAACAGCAACATCAATAACAACAAACACCAACGATCATCATCAACGGGAGAGATTTAACAGATTAAATCCTTAAGTTATCTAGGAAGCATTGTTACTGCTACAGGCGGAACTGATGAAGATGTCGAAGGCAGAATTGGAAAGGAAAGATACGCCTTGATCGATCTGAAACCAGTTTGGAAATCTTTTGTAATCAGCATAAATAACAAGATTTCGGGTTTTAAACACAAATGAGACGTGAGTCACATCTTCTACATGGGTCATAAACTCACCACACCCATTACAAAAAGCATTTCCAAGAGGCTACTGCCTTCCCTCCATACTGAAGACAGTATGGCCGATCAGAAACAGTTAGCAACAAGAAACTATGGGAACAAACCAACCAAGAACGTAGCGTTCAACAAATATGTAGAAGAAACTGGAGATGGATAAGGCGCACGCTGAGGAAGAGCGTCGAATAACACCGTGAGCGGTACCCGGAATGGGAGACGAAGAGTTAGTCATCACTATGAAGGTGAAATGGAGTGAATAGTGAGAGTAGAAAAGAGATTACGGGCAACCATGGGCCCAGCTGAAGAGGACAAAGGAGAATAAAACGAAATGGAGATGTGCTGTTGAAACCCTATTTGCAATGCATGCTATAGATAGCGGACATAAGATCGATTTTGGTAATGTCGAAATTCTAGGAAGAGGCCCTATTGCACCACATGAAGAAAAAATGATCTGTGAAGCCTTGTATCATAAATCAACCACATCAAATGCAATAAATAGGAGAGACTATAATGAACTAAAACAGATGAGAGAAAAGGAAATGGGTGTATTCAATCCTAGATTGTGACTGTTGTAAAAATGTTATCGTGTTTTGATGTATTTTCCACACAACAAAACAAGATGCACACACAGAGAGAGACAAATATGCCCTTGTGACAATTTGATATTAGGCGGGTGAAGACAGTTTACATTTTTTCTTCTATTGGTACAAATGTCTACCGACAACTGACCATAAAGTGGGATTCACTTCAATTTATGTAATTTTTTGAGTGTATATTTTATGTTGGTTAATAAAATCCGATTAATTCTGCTTCTGAAGAAGCTGTAGTTTACACAGTGAAATCTTTAGGAAAAAATTAGTTTTGACATTTTCTTAAACACACTGGGATTGTATCAAATTAATTTATAACATAAGAATCATTTTCCATAAAAAATGCCATCCAGCAAAAAAAAAACCAGGAGTAAATGACTATGAAGAAATGTGTGATGAATGCTGATGGAAACATTTGAATTATTAATATTGATGAAAATATTCAGTATACGAGTACCTCATCATCATCAGTGCCAATAAAATATGCAATAATACAGAAGATTTGTAGTAGTTCACTCAAGTGGATGATTTCGATTAAGTTGTGTTCTCTTATACCTGAGCTGGTTGTAGATTTAATTGAGATGTTTTCGTTAACCCCCATCCAGACAACATCTTTTTTCACCACAGATTTCACTATGAAATGAAATTATTTGAATTCGCTCTCCATGAATAGTGTGTCTTTTGACAGACAACCATTGTCGTGATTCGTTCTCTGTTAATTCACATCTGTCTCTCTTGATCATTCTTATTTAACTGAAATCTTAACTTGTCATATGACTTATTTTTTGTTTTATTGGTTTGTAAATCTGGTCTACATAGTTGCTAGTCTGTTTGTTAATCGCTGACTGATTATTCTGAGTACCAGACAGGCTTCTAGAAATTCCCTTATTGCCCTCTCTTGTGTTTCTTCTATTGAAAGTTTCTAGATTATCGTTGTATGTCTCACTATCGCCAACTGAGATACGTACTTAGAAAATTAGAAATAATTTACCTAAAGAACAGAAGGCTAGCTATCAAGTAGTTTGTTTTTTACTGTGTGCCTGAACACAGGCACTGATGAGTACAAATTAAAACAAAAAACACAATCTTCACTAGGCTGTAACGTTTTAATTGTGTATCAAAACAACCTAACATCATGATCACCGTGTGTAAGAATATTTATGCTTAGATTGGGCACTAGTCAGTAATCAGTAAAATGTGTCTATAGTCCCTTCCTTGGTGCACAGACTGAATTCTACCAGTCAGTCGAATTTGCGTTGTGGCCACCAACAATCGAGGTAGTGACTCGCCATCAAGATGCGCTGCACTGTGAATTCTTGATAGATTATGTGGTTGGAGGTAATTGGTAGGACAGGAAGCTGTGTTCAACATAGGTTTCGTGCTAGTTGGCACTCGCCAGTTAGCAAGGCGTTTCTGCTGTTCTTTATATTTACCAACCATCAAGCTTCAACTGTAAATATAATAGGTTAGCTAGAATACGAACAACACAAGCACTTTCCAGATAACCAGACCGATGTGTCCTGTAAATAAAATCAGTATTTTTTAAATTTTTACATTTCCCTTCCATTGATTTACTCTTTTAACTACACTACTGATGTGCGATTGTGGTTGGCTGTCGGAGGTACATATACGATTGGTTAAGTGTTTGTTCAAGCGCGTTTACCGTATAAGTACCGCCGATACAATTGAAGAAGAAAGACAACATCTCACTGAAATATTGTTAGATAACAATTACCCACTGAGATTTATTAGACGTTATGGAAGTGTCAACCACACAGCTTTACCAATCCAATCAGTTCCCAAAAAGGATGTTTACATATCCTTACCGTTCAGAGGTGATCAACAAAGTCTAGTCACTAGACAAAGACTAAAGGCCGCAATTAATAGAACCTATTATGCAGCTAAACTTATCTTCATAGAGAAAACGAAAACTATGCTGTCCTGTAAACCCTCACATTATCCGAACGATAGTGTCACATTCCAGTGTTTATCAATTTACATGTATGTGTGGAGACACGTACATAGGGAGGACCCATCGGTCTCTGCATGTTAGGGCTACAGAACACATTCCAAAGTGGCTGCAACAACAAATGAAATCGCCAGATACAATTGACCCGGGAAATAGATGTCCAATATAATCTATAGCGAAGAATATTATAGAGACGGGTCATAAGGTTGATCTTAATAATGCCTTTAAGCCGATATATAAGACAAGGTTGGGTCACATACTTAAATTCATTGAAGCCTTAGCCATTAAAAGACTTAAACCTGTCTTATGCGTCCTAAAGTTATTTGTTATCACCTCAAACCTGCCTCGGTAATCCAACTTAGAACCAATGACCAATTTTACTTCATAATATTTTCAAACCCTTTCTTTGCCTTTTTTTTCCTCCCTTTATCTTTCTTACCCACACCTTTTGCGTATCCCTACCCATTATTTTGTGACCTTGACCTGTACACAATCTGACCTGTATTGTAATTATTCATGCTTTCTTGCCTTATATAAAAACTCTGCATGACAAGTACGTGTGTGATCAGAATGTCCGAAATGTGTTTCGCCAATACATTACACGTTTCAGATAGACTACGTCTTCTTATTGTTTTGTCAAAAACATATAGTTAACATTTAGTCCTAGGCATAAATAGAAAACTGTGTGTTAATAGATCGATGTGTTTAAGACTAAGTGAGACGACTTACCGTGGCACAGGCGAGAGACTGTGAAATCAATGAGTGTCACGTGTATGCCTTCTGTGACAACAGCATAACGTACCCCATCAACACGATAGCGTAATTTCCATTGCGGTGTAGACCGTATTAATACATTGTGCCAATGTAAATCCCTATGTTCAAATTGCAGAGCTGATTCAGCCGCTGCTAGAGATATAGCGATTTGTTCAACCACAGACCGTGCTTCACGCCATGTATTAAACTTCATAAAAAATGAAGGGAAAATATATATACATATATATGTATTGCAGAAATATTCATTCAAAAACTTAGAAGACAACAGAAAATTTCGGCAAAGGGAATTATTTTTGATAATTTCCTTTACCAGCTCTACAGTTGAGTATATTTATACACACAGATTATTCTAGAATAATCGTCACCAAAAATATTGATGTCGAAATGATCAGTGACTTGTTAAGATCACAGTAGCATTACCACAGTTCAAGTCATAACAATAAGCACAAGATTATAATAAGTAGAATATTACATAAAATTAAGGAGATTTCTGCAACAAATTAAAGATCATTAAAACATTGATTGATGGCCAGGGTTTGTCCACATTTCTGAACACATAGCAAAGAACCTAAAACTAAGGGCTCACAAGCACCAAACAGTGCGAGTGAGCCCCATATTTTGGAAAACCCGAAGGCGTTCAAAAGAATCAGCAGGTAAAATAACTTCGCTCGTTTTGCCGAGACAATCGCCATTAAATGATTAAAACCAAATCTACGTAGAAAGGAAGAGAGTGGTAAATCTCTCACTGCCTTACTATGATGAAAACATCTACAAATTTTACTACATCTTATTCCGTCGTGTTAAGAAAAATTTATTTTTCGTCTAAACAAGACTCACCCAGTCTCTTTTCTCATTTGACCATTCTAGAAAATCACACTTTCTCTGTGGTTACGTAACCTATTATCTGTTATACTCTTTCTAGTTAAACTTTGTTTCTACCCGCAAAAAATCTATTCAATTGTCCTTTTGTTTCCAAGCATAGTCAACTAATTTTATTTTAGTGTAATTTATACTTTTGTCTTGTTCCGGTTGTAGTCAGCTATGAGAAAAATACTCGAAATAATTTTAAAAATCGGCTTATATTATCCTGCCACACATTTGTTATTCCAGCCTTATTTAAATTAACACCCTGTTGAAAACGAACTCTTATCCTATATATGTATAATCCTTGCTTTGTTCAAAATAAGGCACTGTATATCAACTCATTGTCTTCAAGAGTATTATTAAAATGTTTGTCATTGAAAAAAAACGCCATGGATTGAATAATGATGAATACACTTTCATCAAAATTTACAGGAATTTAAGTCACCTTAAATACGGTAGGGCGACGTACACCTTCATCAACCAGAAATCAGTCTGGAAATCCTCACCGGGTAAGCATAAAGAACAAGATTCGGATGTTAAACAGATGTGTTAACTTAGTTCTACTATACGGGTCAGAAACTCGGGCTGAGCGTCAAGGAAAGCACTTCCAACAGGCCACTGCAAACTTTTATCTACAACTGCCCAGCTAACTCCACAGTGAAAATCAAATCGTCGGTCACAAAGAATTAGCGACAAGAAATTCTGGAGACAAACTGACCAAGAACCTAGTGCTCAACAAATATTCAAGAGAAAATGGAAATGGTCTGTGTCTGTCTGCTTTCAACATAGAACTTTGCACCGATGTGCAACAGCTCGAGTCAACACACTTCACTCAGCACACAAAGCCAGGGAAGAAAGTAAGAAGAAACACAGAAAATAAAAAGTACAGTGAACAGAGATATGAGGCAAAAAGAATAGTAACATCGAGAAACAATATAGTTTTATTGGAAACTATAAGTCACAAGGAGTGGATGCATGTGCTGCAGGCATTGAGAACGACTTTGAGCCATATCGCCAATTGTCTCCAGCCATCGGTGTTTACCGTCCCGACGACGCCAACCAGTAAAGAAGTCTACATCTCCCGACGTGGCCTGAAATAACTTGAGGGTTTCATTGACTGATGAAACCAGTAATTACAAACACCACTTATCTAGATGCTTGATGAAGTTCGCATTTCTCATGATGCTTCGATGAACCTACTAGATACTGAACAACGATAAATTGCGAAGCCCCTTAAGTTTATTATTTTATTATTTCTCTTAATTCCTAGAGGAACATAGAGCTTCGACTGCACGTCTCCATTGCGTTCGGTTCTCTGCTCAAGTTTTTACCTGGCTCCAAGTCTGCCCGCACGCTTTCACCTCCTCCTCACAGGACCTCCTCCAAGTCACCCTTGCACTGACGACCAACTCGCCGCTTCCCTTTCGGGTTCCACTCGAGCAATGGCTTGTCTAGTGATGTCACTTGATGGTTTCCTCAGCGTATGGCCAGTCCATCTCCATTTCTTCCTGCCTATTTGTTTCACAATCGGTTCCTGCTGTGTTGGTTCGCTCATTGCCAGAGATCCCTGTTTCTGATCCTTTCTGGCCATCTGATCTTGAGCATTCTTGAGCGAAGACAGATGTTGATGAAGGTCTGTAGTTTCTTCGAAGTGCTCTTCATGATGAGCCAAGTCTCTAATGCGTATAATATCAATGCCTTCATATTGGAGTTGAAAATCCGGATCTTATTTTTGATGCTAAGTGCTGTTGACCTCCACACAGACTTAAGGGTAATGAAACCCTGTCTTGCTTTTCCGATCCTTTCTTTGATATCTTCGTCAGTTCCGCCTGTAGTTGAAACGACGCTTCCCGTGTAGGTAAAGGAGGTTGTTTCTTTCAGGATCATCCCATTTATGCTGATTGTTACCTGTTGTTGTTGCTGTTGTCGTTGGCCAGGAATCTTAATCACCTCTTTTTTCTCCACGTTCACCTGAAGTCCTATCTTCTCTGCGTGCTTCTTCTTCTTCCAACTTGTTGCCTTTCACTTGCATATCTTGCAGTTTGTGGGAAATCAGACACATATCATCGGTGAAGTCCAGATCCTCCAAGATTTTTGTGAGGGTCCATTTTATGCTTGTTTTCTCGCTACCCGCCCCGCTGTCTGTCGCATTATACAATCTACTGCAATCAGGAAAATCATTGGTGATAGTAGGCAGCCAGCTTGTCTTACTCCCGTCCTCACTTCAAAGGATTTCGTAAGTTTCCCGTTGTGGATTACTTGGCAAGCAACATTATCGTACAACTGATGGATGAGATGTATAATTATCGGCGGCACCCCGCAGTAGCAAAGTAGTTGCCGAACCACCTCTCGATCGACTCTGTCGAATGCCTTTTCAAAGTCGATGAAGTCGAGATAGAGAGGTGACTGCAATTCTAAGCCTTATTAAATGATGATCCGTAGTGTTGCGATTTGATCAATACATGAATTGTTTCTCCTGAATCCAGCTTGTTCCGGTCGGAGCTTTTCATCCAGGGTTTTATCGATTCTCTTCAAGATGATGCGGCTTAGTATTTTGCTTGGGATGGACAGGAGCATAATACCGCGCCAGTACTTGCATTGGCTTAAATCTGCTTTCTTTGGCAGTTTGAATAAGTATCCTTTCTTCCAATCCTCGGGGGCCTTCGCCAATAATGGTGTCATCAAATCCGCTGTTGTCTCTGGGTCCATTTTCAATGCTTCTGCTGGGATTCCATCTGGATCTGCTGCTTTTCCAGCTTTTAGCATATAAATATAGTGTAGGCACATTGAAAAAATGACAATAAATCGAATATATACAAAGTTTGTACATGCAATATGTCACAGTTGGGCTTACTCGAGTATTAGCCAAAGGATCACCAGCAAACTCAAATTCTAGAACCATCCAAAGTTGTTCACTAGGCAAGAAATCGGGACATTCGTTATCCGATCCCTTTTGATTCTCATATGTTCGCCAACTTTCAGAGAGAATCACAGGAAGCTTACCCTCAACGACAGTCGCCCTGAAAATGACAAATGAATATTAAGGAACATACTTTTTTAACTGTGCAAAGTTGACTGATCGATTGAGTTTATACTTGAAAGAGAGTTCGCTCATTTTTCTATTGAGTATAAGGGTGTTTTTTATAAGAACTTACTTAGATACAAAGACTTCAGAGAATACATCAGAAAACTCCATCTGTTTCTCACCATTGACGAGTTGTTCGCCATCGACAGGAAATACTTTGATCACATTCCCCTTCACATATCGGAAGACTTCACCGTAAACACCTTCACCTATTTTCACAAGATTTGTTGAAAGTCTATAAACAGGGATTTAAATTTATAAAAGGAACAACATACGTGCGACCGAAGTATTCATCAAATGACTTGACCTCTACCTGACGACATAACTGAAGAAGTTCTTGTAAAGGGTCGGCATCCGCAGATTGATTCTGAAAACAATAAACAGATTCCTAAGCCACTAAAAATAGCATCCATGTAACTAAATAACTAAAAGCCAGATTAGATGGGTGCATGTAATGTGTAGAATTGTATATGCGATATATATATAGGTTTGACCGTTTTAGAAGACACTTGTGACTGAGATGCATGTAAAATATGTACTATATCACAAACAGAATACTTACAAGTACAGGAGACGGAGATTCTACGATAGGGCAACAATTACTAGACTGTACCAACTCTTGCAAACAAAATTCCATGCGTCTTGTCTTTGGTCTCTTCAGTTTGGCTTTCTGATCTCTCCCACCAGAACTCAAACGAAGTGGAGCCAGCAATGACGACAAAGAGTTTTCTAAATCTTCTTTATTTGTTTGTGAATTAATTGTGAAATTGCTTCTGCTGAGTGAAGCACCTGCTGAATTTCTCCCTGAACCATGAGAAGACAGCGTAGAATTGCGTCTTGGCTTAACTGTATTGAGGACGGTCTGGTTCCCAATATGGCTATTACTCCGAAGAGCACGTCTTGGAGGATCATGGGATCTGAGACTATATGAACAAGTCGGTAATGTGGCACGCCTAACTTTATTGGTAGAGACATTCTGCATTTTTATAGGTGTGGATGGAGAAGCTGAGTCTTCAATGAGGCTATTCATAAGATGAACACTACACAAAGGAAACAGAGTATGCCTTTTTGAAGCCCGTCGTTTGCGACAACGTGGTCCGTTATTCTCTTTGTGAGACGAAGTTGAATCTGAACGTCGGATACGTTTAGCTCCATGGTCGCGATTATTGTGATGACCGTTACTCACGCAAATCCTCTTCTTGCGAATACTTGCTGAGTTGCTGAATTTATCAGATGGTGGAGTCATCATATTGCAAACCTAAACTAAATTATTGGCGAAAACTAGGAGTCAACCTACATGACATTCATTAACCTCTGAAAATCCAGCAACCTCTGCTCATTTATGAAGTATCTGGAATGAGAACTTGTGTCATAATACAGAATAACCTACAGGGTCTCGTCAACTTCGGCGGCGAACCAACCCCAATGATCAAGTAATTTGAGGTACCGTACTACAGTAATTTGAAAATAACATTTACTTGTCAAGAGTGAAGGTTGGGAAGCAACACTCTTAATGAAAAAGGGTTTATTCCATAAAATCTATAGCTAGACTTGCAATAATTTTTATAATGATCAGGAGATGGAATTCGTGCTTTTGTGGTTATTTGAAATCACCTTGATGTCCTCAGGTCAAGTTTCCCATTACATCGTCTCGTCAGAAATTTGACTGTCATGCGATTCCCTTATCTGCCACTTGCACACTTTTTCATTGCTTTTTTAAATTTCAGGCAGCCTTATTATACACTGCTACGTGTAACTTTCCGAATCCCTATGACTGCACTAAGGTAATACCGCTGCAGTGTCCTTTACTAAATTCAGAGAGGGACACTTATTTACGATGTATCATTTTCTAGCAGAATATTCGGATGACACAACTAGACGACAGTTGTTTCAACTTTGTTCCAGTCGGAGATCTCATTGATCATAGGACTTAATCCAACTTTCTAAAACCATATAACATCTAAAACAATGTGGAAATAAAGTAAATAGTGGTGGTCTGAACTGACTTATAAGTCATCCTCGGGCTCTCAAAAAGTGTTTCAGGACTTTTTTCACGAAATAAGTCTTCAGATAACCCCAACTAACATCATGTTGTTGTACCAGGATGATTGTACACTTAGGTGTCTCATCTCTATGAGGACTGGACAGGGAGGCTTTTTCGAGTATAAAACTTGGGCACTGTGGTAGAATACAACCCCATTATGGATGATTTTATTTTGATAGATCATACAGTGTTATACAGTAATATTAACTGATGACGGTTCGAGCACAAACTATTGCCACTCACTATCATATCAAGTTACTCAAACAACTTTTTCCTTCCATTTATTTACATGTGTGGAATTGACTATTTGAATAAAAATCAATATGGGATGATGTACATTCAGAAATAATAATATGAGTGTTATTGATCAATTACAACCAGATGGGAAATAAGACGAGTGTAATTTAAAAACAAGCTCATCAATCACACTGCATTCAGTAACACACAACCACATAATAGGTGCGAGAGGGTTAAGATTTTATGAAGTGATCTATGTAGGTGGCTGCGAATCGTATTTACCTAGTTTTGAATCAATATCATGTCTCTAATCTTAATAACTCATCGATGAAGCTATTTCTTCAGGATACACATTACGATTCCTAGAAGTCAGGAACAGATCTAGTTTTACTTTGTGACCGCAATTGGTGAGTCGGCCGATAATAACAATAATAATTTATACTTCGCGTAAACAGGTAAGTTTACAAGGAATGCACACCATTTTTACAGGCATTATCAGTAATTTTATAAATTACAATCCTGAAATATTATAAATTATTACTTCTCCAAATGCTTTAATTGTTCAATTATTGTATAAGCAGTCATAATCGGTTCTTGTAAATTTTTAATTGCAAACCGTTTGGGTGGAGATAAACTTTATCGTGATATATTTTCGCGCACTGTTTGGGTTATCGCGTTCATACCTATCGAGGCGTTATAATCGTTCTCTTTCGTGAAAATAGATTATATTTGACTAGTTTTCGGCTTATGCAGCCGGAAAACGCAATATTTTCCTATATTTGTTCGAATTGATAGGTAAAATTGTCTTGAAATCGCAGACAGTTTAGTACTAAAAATCATCCATTTTAAGAAATTTTGCATAGAAAGACTATTATTTGCGTTTAAGAGCCTTAAGGCTTGTTGTTTGCGAGTTGTTTTAGATCCTGAGGCTGAAAATTGACTACAGGCAATGGTTGTTGTCACCGCAGTTATTCTATGAGAATCAGGCATTTGAAAGTGAAATACCCCACATACATAAGTTAGATGTATGTTTTGAGGATGATAAAGACTTCTGTTATCTTCCGTGATGACTGAAATATTCCATAACACATCGAAGAGACCGCGCGATGAATGAGGCAGGCTTCTGAGTTACCTGGTGATTTTTTCCATTTCGATAAAGTTCCTAGTTAAAACTGCCCAGACAAAGATGTGATCCTAGTTAAATTTACACTGTCGCATGGAATTCCGGGATACCGCAATTGCTCAGTGCATAACATGGCATCAGATTATGTTGATATCAGTCTGGATTGGGGTACGCAGAATGGTGTAGATGGTCCCTCCCTTTAAAATTAGTATAAGCTTTCCGTTAAATAGTAGGCAGCAGCTGTGTCCCACAACTGCTACACCTGTTACCTAAGTTATATCAGTCTTAATAATTATTCATTTTCTGATCAATAAGATGTTCTGAGATCCTTAATGAATTATCTGTGGCTATGAAGGATACGGAAGGTGCACTTATGGCTCATATTTTTAAAGCATTTATTATTAATCAGGTTATCTGTAGGGATTTTGTGATGTTCAGGTTACAATGCCTGAGTGTATGTAGTTACTGCATACTATTATGCGTGAAGGGACAGTTGCTGAAAATGCAGAGAGAAGTAAATTTCCTATAAACTCACTATGACTACTGCAAAACTTTTGATAAAATACTGCATCAAAGAATAAAATTCCGAACAGCTAGTGTCAATGGAGTTGAAGATTGAACGATCCATTCTTGGTTGTTTGCTCAAAATCAACTTCCCCAATTTTCGCGGAGGCATCAATACGACAGTCATCGTCTCATCGGTCGCTGTTCAGAAAGAAGTCAGCAGTAAACCATCAGAATTTTTTTTTTTTTTTTTTTTTTTTTTTTTTTTTTTTTTACCTTAGTTCAATTATTATTTTTATATGTTGGTGTTACAATAAAGAATTCTCGAGTGGCCAATCGGTGTTTTGGTTTTGGCGTCCGTTATTACCAGGCGTTTCTGAAAAACTTCAAGGAACAGCGTGAGCCCGAGCGTAGCAAGAGCTGGGCATTAACGGTTTACGAGACGTGACTGACAGTTTCTGATGGCTTAAAGTCAGTTTTCGACGGGTTTGGACCGTTGGTAACAGATTGGATAGTTACCGTTCATCTTTCCTGGTGCCGGTCAAGTCCTCTTTGAACAAGCAATATCTGGAACTTTTTGGAAATTGGGTCAAGTTCAACAATGCCTGGGTCAAAGAAGGGACAGAGTGTCTTGGATGCAAACAGGAAAGTAAGTCATGGTGACTTGTCTGTTAATTGTAACGATGTGTCTGATGTTAAGCATGACATGGTTGATGTTACTGTTTCGCCGTTCAGGGATAATAGGAACATCAAACTCCCTAAGTTTGAACCACGGTGTTTTGATGGAAACCCGGCTGATTATTTACAATTTGTAAAGGAGTTTGAGATCATGTTGAGTAGTTTTTTATTAAGTGATGAATTGAAATTGATGTATTTGATGAGGTATTGCACTGGAGATGCTTCAAGAGCTATACAGTGCTGTAAGCTCATGCCCCCTAATGAGGGATACGCTGAGGCTATGAGCATATTACGTCAAAGGTTTGGAAGACCTTCGATGATTGTAAGGAACGTATACGAAGCTGTCAAAGGTAATGGCAGTCAACTTCAAGATGACTCCAAGGCACTTACTGAGTTTTTAGATAATCTTATGACTTATAAGAATACCTTGATTTCTATGAATTGCATGAGTGACCTCAACTCGAGCTCAGTCCTAGAGGTAATTGCAAGACGCCTACCTACTCGGCTGCAAAGGAAATGGGTAAAAATAAGCTCTCGTATAGAGGAGGAGGGTATCGAGCCAAGGTTTGATGATATTCTTAGACTGGTGAAGGACAGTGTCAACCAGGCGATGGGCAAATTCGCCAGCATTTTGCATTCTAAGGTAGAACCTAAGGAACCAGTGAATATAAGGAAGGCATTTGTGGTGAAGTCTCAAGACACAACGAGAAAGGATGAGTGTATTGTTTGCCATAACATGCATCAATTGAGTGATTGTAATCGCTTTATCGCTATGTCACCCGTAGAAAGGTTAAAAATGGCAAAGCAGAAGCGGCTGTGTTTCAGTTGTTTAAAGATTGGGCATACAAAGTGGAATTGTAAGGCGACAAATAAAGGAAGTAGTGGTTTAACGGATATGCACCCACTTCTGAGAACAGTGAACGAACCTGGGAATTCGGTTAATTGTAATAGTATCTCTAGACCCCTTGACATCCCACAAGTTTTCTTAGGGGTATTACCAGTTAAGGTGAAAGGACCGAAATCTTCAGTAGAGACTTATGCATTGTTGGATAATGGTTCAGACGTTACATTGATAGATGCTGAACTGGCTGGTTGCTTGGGTATTAAAGGCCCAAAGCAACCCTTGGTTGTAAATACTTTCAATTCTGCGAAAACAGTAGTATGTGAGCGAGTGTCATTTCAGTTAGAATCCTTGGCTACTGGGGAGACCGTGGAAGTGGATACTGCTTACACTACCTCCAGTATGAAACTTGGCGAAGCTATAGTACCTAGTCGTGAAACGGTTGTCGGTAAGCCATACCTGTGTGACATACCTCTTCCAACATTGCAAGATGGAAGAGTGAGAGTACTCATTGGATGTAGTGTGCCAGAAGCTCACAAGGTATTAGAAGAGAGATTTGGAGGTAGAGATGATCTGTTTGCGACGAAAACACCACTGGGATGGACAGTGAGAGGACCTATACCCATAGTCCACATATCATCATTAGTTACAAACGATGGGGACAAACTAGAAACTATGATTAAAAATATGTATGACAAGGAGTTTTGTGACTGCGGTGTCCCAGGGAAGGGTCGTTCTGTAGAAGACTTAAAAGCAGTTAAAATAGCCGAGGACTCTTGTAAATACGAAAACGGGCGTTTCAGCGTTGGCCTACCATGGAGA